TCTGTTTCTCTTTCAGTTTGTGGCATTGTTATTCTTGCCCACAGACCGCATGGATTTACAGATTTTGAAAACGGATTAGACGGAAAGACGGGGTATGGAATGCATTAAATGCTCTCGCTGCCCATAATATTCATGAGGACGGCTGGCTGGCTGGCTGGCTGGCTGGCTGGCAGATTTTCCATGCGATTACTGAAACACCATGTAAACGGTTTTTCGCCCCGATAGCATCGTACATCGTATATCGTACCCATCGATGATGGGTAATCTGTACAAATTCTGGATGTTTATAATGACATATTCCCCCGATAACTGTGACTGGGTGTAAATGGAACTGTTCAAAGTTTGTTGAGAGAATTAAAAAGCGCTTTCCTTCGACAGATAGAGGGATAGAATCCCTTGGTAGCTGCAGCAATTGGAAAACTTAATTTGAGATGCATTAAGTTAATCGGCCAGCGGTTGCCTTCATTCGAACTAATTAAACTAAATTGCTATTCCAATTTTCCACTTGCTGGCGAAAAGATGCCTTGGGACAGACCATCCTCCTCCCATCATCAACATCATCATCTCGTTTAGAAAATTGAGGCTGCCCGAGTGAGCTTTCCCATTGAAATCATCTCTTGTTGGGAGATTGAAAAATCGTATTGAATTACTGAAACAAAAGTGAAATAGGGAGACCATAGACCTAGGAAAATTGAAGTTAAATCACAATCCATAATGTTGCCAAATGTGCGATGCTTTCCATGTTCCATGGTCCCAGCTCTATTGTGTCTTCCCCAGCGATTCCCGATTGAATTATGAATTAATAAAGATGTTTGCCCGCAGGTCAGATTTGGGTTACGCCAGCCAAAAGACAAAAGGGGAACCCCGGAACCCAAGTTCTCTGGCTAGAGAGAGACAGAGTCCAACCCCTATGGAAATGTTCACTGCGTTCGTTCTGTCCTCTTTGGCTCTGGCTGTGGCCGGGCTGATGCTGTTTTGGCTTTTTGGTTTTTTGGATTTTGGGCAAAAACACACATACAAATCCGTTACAACAACATGCGTGTAACTTGAGGATGCACTTTTCCTGCTGCTGCCCCTTTTATTGAAAGATAATTGGGTTCGCCAGGCGATGGGAAAGGAGGGCAGGACCCGGGCGACCAGACAGGCGTAAAGAACGGACGTTCCCCCAAACCTACGATTCGCAATTCAATTGAGATTCAAATTCACTTACCCCCACCTTTCGTCGGAATCAACTTATTATATTTCAAATGGAAGTATCTGACACATCACCGCCATCATTCGTAACGCCCTCATCCAGCCCAAGCCCAGTCCCAGTCCCAGTCGCTGTCCCTGCCCCAGTCCTGAACGCTTTTGACGTGTAAATGTTATCTCTTTTACAAATTAAGCCCGACTACGCTTCCTATGCCGGATTTTGGGATTCGGCGATGGCCTTGTGGTGGCTTTTCGTGTACATACGCGCGTATCGTGTATCTGTGGATGTGCGGCTGTGCGTGCACCACCCTCGCCCTCCCGCCAGACCGCTCGAATCCAAAAAATGTCCAACAATTAAATGTAATTTGAACTTACTGACATGAGCGTTAACGCTCCCATGCGAGATTGTGCGAGGAAGAAGGGGCAACAGCAGGGGCCGGGGCCCAAATAAATCTGCTTGGGGGATCACCAAGAAGTGGATAGATAATATTTGAGAGCCGTTGCTTTGTTAATTACTTCCCTCGCACAGATTAACGCAAGAAATTTATTTCAATTTGAAGATCAAATTCGAGGGTCTTAGAATATTTACGGGTATGCACATATTTATAATATCCATTATTGGTTCATTTTGGAGCTGCATTCCGAATACTCGTTTCAAAAGCATCTCCGTCCCTTTGGAGCAGAGCAATTTGTGGAGATTAAGCCACCCGTACGGCGGCTTCCAAACGGTGTAGAGTGTCGCCCAAAGTGTCAATGGAACTTTTTAATCATCCATTGGTTAAATTCCCCCCATATCGACCTTACTCCGCTCTGTGGCAGCCTCTAATCGGTTTAGGTTCGCCTGCCGCACACACTCACCCACACGCGGCAGGGAGGGAGGAGGAACGATGCACATGTCGCACAGGAGAAAATGATCCAATCCAACCGATGGATGACCAGACCCCAAAGGAAGACCGCAACTTGTGGGAGTTTAGTGGTGAGCCTCTTACACTCGGCCAAAAAAGAAATATCTGCCAAAATTCTTGAAAAAGAGTTGATTTTTAGTAGTTTTTAGCAGGCCCGTCCTGCCTTGGGGGTGTCACTCTCATGGCTGACGTCATGGATCGTCAAACGCCGTTTCAAAACGCATCTGCATGTGTGCGTTTGGGTATCTGTGTGTTCATGCATACATATACATATGTATGTATGTATGGGCGATACGTATGCCAAATCGGCTTAAGGGCAAGTTATCGGCATTTGAAAATAAAAACAAGCGCATTATTGACACCAACCCGAACAGCATAGATTTAGCCTGCCCAGCGATTTTGATATGTGGAAATACACTGAGAGAAACACAGGAATAATCTTAATTTGAAATGCAATTTTTTGACTTGGGAATACCTTTGTAAATACCCTGTAGCTTTAGCTATTATTTGAGACTTAGACAATTTCAACCAGAGAAGGGTGTACGCAACTTCCCACAGAATTTTCTCAGTGTAGCCCATCGGCAGCCCATCGACGGCAATGCTTCTGGCAGGCTGGAAATAAGGATGACGATGTCAAAGCCTCCGTCTGTCTGCCTGTCAATACGTTTTCCATTTGTCGCCTCTAATGACACACATATTTAGGTGTTAATCGCCTCATTGGAACGCTGGCAGCGGATTTGCTCGCATTGTTGTCCGCTGCGGCGGAGTCGGGGTTTTAGGCTCAGGCTACGGCAACGGCAACGGCAACGGCTCCGGATCGGCCCCAGAGTCGGTCTTAGGGTAAATATTGATGCTGCGATTATAACTATTGATGCGTTCACAATGGAGTTGCCGGGCATTATCCGCAGCCGATCAGCCAGCTAGATCTGCCTCTCTGTCACTCTGCCTATCTTTCTCTCTCTCTGCCGATTAGTCGTGACCGGCGACTCAGTCAATCGTGTTTTGGCTTTATGGCACATTATCCCCTAAATCGCAAACAAAACTGCAAACAAATTGCCGCAAAGCAAGACCACCGAAAAAAAAAGGAACGAATAAGGAAGGAAAGCCGAAAACATATGGGATCGGGGCAACCAGAGCATATGCTCGGAATCCGGATTGGGATCGGATCGTGAAGGTATTAGAAAAATTGTCAAATGGCTTCAGTGGCGACGGAAGTGAGCTGCCAATGATACCATAGTCGTCTCTTTCTCTCCCTCTCTCTCTCTCTTACAGGGTTGTTTGATTGAGTCGTTCGTAGGTTTGTACAAACGAGTATGTATGCGACAGATTTGCTAAATATTCGGTCTATTGACGAATATATTTTTGTATTATACTAAAATGGTTTCAAAAAAAACGTAATTCCATATCATTTTAAATACATGCAAATATGTATATAATTGGGCTATTAACTATATTCCCATGTAATGACAGATATCCAATCTCCTTCATTTTCGTTTCGAGCAATATCAGTTACACAGTAAAAATGACCTCAACAAATCAATTAATAAGTAAATATGTACATCTTTACAATTGCTTATCAATTGCTCTCAACCACTTAATAATATGTATGTATATGTATAATCCATGATTCGTATCTTAATCAACACATTTAAAGAGATTCTCGAATTTTAGTTTTGAGTTGTGCTAGGACCATAGGAATCCATGTTTTCAATGCATTCATTTACATTTTTGATGACATCCCGACGGGGGTTTGTCATTTATGGATTTATATAATTGGGACTCCACTTTTAATCAGGGAATGCCATGAATGTAAGAATGTGGTTGTATTGCAGACACACAGAAAGATGATTGTGACCTAACACATATTCTTAAAAATAAGCCCGACATCATTTATCTTTATCATATTTACATATGAATGTTTATTAACGTGTATCTGAGATTGATTGCTTGGATCCATTGGGTATCATATGTATGTACATATATGTATATACATATGTGTGTATGTATGTATATCTGTGATTTTATTTGTCTACTTCCAAGAACTTTTGGACTGCTATGACGATGTCAGATGTCTAATCTCACACATACATACATAGATACATACGTTATTAATTGTTCATCTTTTATCCTAGCTTATGTATGTAATGAAAAAAATGATATTAAAAGTCAAAATTCGATACGTTTAATAATGCTAAAAACAGGACTCTTACACTTTTCTATATTTTACAGTTTTTATCCAAAACTACGTCCTATCTCTATTTACTTGCTCCATTCATTCATAAATACATACATACCTACTTTTACTTTCTCATTTTTTCAGTTCTTTTTTAACCAATAAAAACCGTTTTCTCTTTCCTTTTCTCGCTTGATTTTGATTGGCTAACAACGTTTTGCACATTAACAGATCTCTGTGAAGCTTAACAGCGATGAACTGCTTGTGCCCCAAAGCAAGTGGTTCTGTGAACTGCTTGCAAGTACTGAAGCCACTGCTTGCTACCGTTAGAGATTTGAAATGTCCTCAAATAAAACGCCTTGCTTTGTTGTTTTCAACCATTTTTATTTCTAAAAAATTAACATGCCTTTTTGTTGTAGCTATAATTATAATCACTAATTAAGTAAATGTTTTGCTTCTGCATTTGGTGTTTTTTCCACTTTCATTTTTCTCTTTTATCGATTTAATTCTATTAAAATTCAACACGAAGTTCAGCTAAAAATTGCTCAATCGTTATATTCAACGTTATACGCCTTTGATTTCGAAATGGATTGGTTTTTTATAACAACTGGATGCTAGTTTATTAACAAAGTTCAATGCGCACGCAGGCGTACGTGTATGTATAAAAACAAAAACATAATTAATCCCTAGGATAGATTACTGAATATATGTATACTATATTAAATGAACACAACAAACCATTTTTACACAAGGGAATTGGCTAGAGAAGAGCAACAGATTGTAAAAAACGATTACCATATCTAGAAGAAGAAGATAAAATGTACAATGCGCTAACAGAGATGAGAAACAAATAAAAAGTCTAACAAAAATCTCCGACTAATGATTAATTCTAACTAAGTGTAAAGATCATTAACAACCGAAAGAGAAGAACCTACACATTGGGGATGGGTTTAGCTTACGTTCCTTATCTTCTTCATTTTTTACACAGATTTTTTATGAATAAGTGGTTTACTTTCGCTATCAGGCCTAGAAATTTGTGAACATCATGGACGGATGTTAATCTGAAGTAAAATTTTGCGCACAGTGACGCCTTGCTGACTGCATACAGCCCGCGACGGGTTTATAGTGGGGCAGGAGGTAGGAGAGAATGGAACTGGGAACGGGAAGAGGGAAAGGGGCAAGGAATTAGGGGAATATTGTAAATTTTGATTTACACTAAAGTTAACTATACTAATCAACAGCTTCGTGACCCGTTGGCTTCTCCATTTTGTTTCCTTTGTACAGTGTTCGCGCACACGTGCTCGTATCATGGATGTATATCTACCTCTATATACTTGTCAGTATATTTATAAATGTGTGTGTGTGTGTGTTTGTATGTGTGTGTACTTATGTAATGCTATATCATAGGCATCTAAGGCATAGTTTTTATCTAAACAATAAGGTTTTCATTTCATGTTAATCCATGTTTCAGTTTACCAATTATTTACAACAATTTCGTATCACAATTGTAATTTTTGCATGTTCTTTGCGTTTTGCTTGTTTCAAAAAAGGTTGCTATGCTTTGGACACACAGTGGGCGTTGTATGCAAACTGTTGAGCAGCACTGTGCGGATATACATATTCGAAATGTTACTTTTGCTACGTTGCCGTTACTTCATTGCTTCTTTTTATTGCTTTCTTTGCTGCTTTTGTTTTGTTTTGTTTTTGCTTTGTTTTTGATTTGTTTTTTGTTAAGTAAAAGTAACGATTATAATAATTGAATTCAAAATTCGTTAACCTCTTGCTAAGCTAAAACAAACTGTTTCTATGTCTGTATCGGTATCTGTATTTGCATCTATGTATGTATCTGTACCTGTGTTAGTGTGAGTGAGGGTCTTGTATATAACCTGGCTATGTGTGTGTGTTTATATATATCCTGTTTTACATATATGTAACGTTGCTTATATTGCTTTTCATATAGATCTGTATAATTAAACTTGTTGCTGTTCTATTAAACTCTGAAAACATAACAAATTTAAAGCCTTTGATGAACATGTTTAGGCATTTTGATGTACATACGAGTATGCATGCATATGTATGTTGTGCATATACGATGCTATGTTCGATGTGTGTATATGATGAGTGGAGGCCGGATGGTCTGCCCAGTTTAAAACCATAAATTGCCACCTTTGAGGCGTCCCGTAACTACAATGCACTAAACCGACTTAAGATCACTTACGTCACAGGAAAGTACTGTACTTGTTACGTATTCCGTTTACATATCGCATCATGACGTAAGTGTTGCTGCCAGTTGAACCGGCTGGAAATTATTGCCAAGACTTAAAGACTAAAACTACTAAACCTAATGCATAATAACACTACATAACAGGGTTCGGTTCGATTCGGTTCGTATCTGTTCTGTTCGGGGAAGATATTCAACATCATATTCTGTTGTTTCTGTTTCTGTTTGTTTCTTTTCCTTGTCACGTTAAACGTTCATGTAAAGTTTCGATTCGTTAAGGGATAAGGTAACTACGTAGCTCTCATTCCATGCTGCCTCGCCTGCAGAGGCTCCGCATGCAGGTCATAAAAATATGATGAGTGTTATCTCTATATATAACTATATATGTATAATGTAGATGTAAACGTAGATCTAGATGTACAACTAGATGGTAGGTGTATAATCATTTGCTCTGAGCGTAACTGTGTGCCTGGTTGTGGAAAATCTCTCAAAATTGAGCTAAGTAAATATTCGGAATAAGCATTCGCATTCGCATTCGAATTCGCATTTGCTCTCGCATCCGTGTCCAGGTGTGGAGGTTCTCTCCTCCTGCGCCAGACCCCACCCACCACCCCATCAAAGTGCCAGCAAGCAGGCTTAGATGCCGCTGGCGAACTGTGGCTGCTATTGATGACTCTTGCTCAGCAGATGAGCATTGAAGTCGTAGACGTTGTTCAGCTGTTCGCCGCAGATGTTGCACTTCCACGGATTGCTCTCGCAGTGGCAGCCCTTGTGGAGGAAGTAGAGCGTCTCGTCGGGGAACTCGATGCCGCAGAAGTGGCAGGTGAGGATGAGCTTGCGATTCAGCAGATCCCCATCCTGCCCCGTCGACGTGATCGTGCCGTTGCAGATCTGTGTGGAGCCGGACCCGTTGCTGGGATTCGGCACCGCTGATGCGGGCGTGCCACCGCCGTTACTGCTGCTGTTTACGCCACCCGATCCAGAACCCGAACCCGACCCATTGCTCAGGCTGTTCGACAGCACGCTGTTGTTCTCCAGGGGTGTGGCATTCCGTGTGATCCGGTTGTTGGCCTTGGCGCATATTCGACGTTTCAGATCCTCTCGCAGGAGAGATTTCAATGGTGAGACCTGGTCAAAAGTCAACAAAAAAACCATCGTAAAGATCGTTTGAAATTAGAATAATGATCGTCCGATCTACCCACCTTAATCAGTGAGGTTCTGTTGTTGTTGTTGTTGTTGTTGTTGTTGTTGCTGCTGTGGTTGGAAGATTGTTCTGTGTCGCTGCTGGCATCGCTGCCGTTGACCTGCAACTTTTTGTCCACATCCTCTGTCATTGGCTCCTGCATTAAAACGAGTACATATTAGCCTATGATCATTCGGTAGATCCACCCTATCTCTAACACTCACCTGCTTGATTGGTATCAGGCTGATCGAGGGCGTTATGTGATTCTCGTGGTGGTGGTGATGGTGATGGTGGTGCTGCTGGAGATGGCTCTTGAGGCTCGTCGTTGTCGTGGTGCTCGACGTGATGGGTGTGGCCTTTGTGTTGCAGTCCATGGGCAGCTGTAGCTCCACCGGCGACTGCATGATCAGGGCGCGATCTTTCACCTTCTCCGCATTGGACTCGCTGTTTCCATTGCTAATCACACTAATTGTATTGTTGTTGTTGTGGCTGTTGCAATTGTTGTTGTTACTGCTGCTGCTGCAGTTGTTGTTGCTGTTGTTGATGTTGTTATTGTTGTTGCCCTGCAATGCAGATTCACGCCAAACGCAAATCAGCTGTGGGGGCTTACAATAAGCAAGGGGGATTGGTGGAGGAGATGCTCGAGTGGAACTTACGTTGAATAGCTCCGTGTTCCCGTTCTCGCTTAGCGTGGAGATCTCCACGTGCGGCGTGAGGAAGTGCATGGGCGGTGTGGCGTTCTCCAGGGAGCGCATCGACTCCCCGCTGTCGCTCTGATGACTGGCAGGAGGAGGCGCCACCGAGGACGACTGCTGCTGCTGCTGTTGCTGCTGGGCTGTAACGGGCACGGGAACGGGAACGGGACTCATGCCGGGCGGGACATAGCTGGCAGCAGCCGCAGCCGCCGCCGCCGAAGCCTGCGACTCGAGCGCCAGAAGCAGGGAGGATGTGCCGCCGGGCCCCGGGTTGTCCAGGTCGATCCCATGCCGGTTAAAGAAGTGGATGCGCAGCGATTTCATGGACCCAGCCCGGTAGCTGCAGAGAGGGCAGGTCTTGACCAGATCGTGCTGGCCGACGTGCTCGTTCTGGAAGTGGGCGCGCATCGCGATCTGCCGCTGGAAGCCGCGATTGCAGATGGGGCAGTGGTAGGGCAGCGTCTTGGTGTGGGTGGTGAAGTGCTCGGCCAGGTGGTCCTTGCGGAAGAATCGCTTCTGGCAGACTCGGCACTCGTACGGCTTCACGCCCGTGTGCCGCATCTTGTGGCGCCGCATATTGGCTCCGTTGGAGAACTTCATGTTGCACACGTCGCACTCGAAGACCTTCCTGGAGCTGCTGCTGTTGCCACTGCCATTGCCCGCCGGCGAGGAGCTGGCCGAGGAGCTGGACCCCCCGACGTTGTCCGACGATGGCTTTCCAGTGTCCATGTGGCTGAGGCTCATGTTCTCCGGCTCCCCCAGATCCTCGCTCTTCAGACGGACCGAGGCAGCTGCCGCGGCCGCAGCCGCCTGTCCGGCCAAACACTGCACCACGTGGAGGAGCAGCGAGGCCCGGGAGCTCGTTTCGAAATTGTCACATCTCTCGCAGCGGAATGTCATGGGCGGCGAGTGGGGGCCGCCAGTACTGAGATTCGTGGGGGTCGGCGTCGGCGAGCGCGGCTCCGGGAGCTCTGATTCCGAGGCGGATCCCGAGACGGACGCATCCCGATGGGCTGCAGCCTCCTTAAGGCTGCGCAGGGCCAGTGCATTGTGGTGCAACAGTGCTGCCGTGGTCGGCGTCATATCCACTATGAGGCCCCCTCCCACTGCCACCGAGGGGCTGGTGTCCTTGAGGGCCAGCTCCATGCTGCTGGCTGCAGTGCTGATCGTTTCGGCCATCTGCAATGGATAATGGAGGTGGATAAGTGCCAAGATTAGTCCAAGCCCCGCCCAAAAATCGATGACAAGTTGCGGTTTTTTTTTTGGCATTTCAAGTGCTTCTAAACCCCAAACCCCAAACCCCAGACCCAAACTCAGACTTTGACTTCGACTCTAATAAGCCAAATTGGTGTCAGCGACGAAGCTTTGCTGGTAGTGGAGGTACGGGCGGTGATGGAGGAGGGAAAGGTGGCCAGGAGGGGGCGCGGTTGAGGGGAGACCTGCGGCGAATTCGCTAAGAACCAACAACGACCATTTTCGGGCGGCCTCCACATTGTGGCTGTAGCTGTGGCTGTGTCTCTGGCTGTGTCTCTTGTTGTTGTTGTTGTAGTTGTTGTTGTAGTTGTTGGTGGTGGCACGTTGACGCTGACTTCGTGCGGGGCCTGCTTCTATGAAAATACCAAAGTTATTGGGGCCAATTACTGGTCTTGCAGGTGGGCAATCGTTTGGACACCCATACAAAGCCAGAACAGAGTGTTCGAAGATTGTGGAGACCGCGACCACACCAACAAACACCAAAAATCATTCAAAAGTTTGTTTGCCCCAACACACAATGGGGGGATTCGCCATAGAAACTTTGACGGATCTTCGAAGCAGACTTTTTTTTTGAGAGAACTGATTCCCATGCTGTAAGTACTTAAAAGATAATACTTCACCCAATGTTTTGCTATAGGTATGGTTTAAATATTTTGATACATGTATCTGTCTATGTGTATTGTATGGGAAATGGTAATTTATAGCAAAAACCTTTTCTAAACTAACTCTGAATGAACCTTTCACTCAAGACTTGATACAAGAAGTTTGAGTATGGTTTTGGAAGCTTTTGAGATTGAATGGATCATAGAAATATAGCTCTACGAAGAATTCATCATTCATTTCTGTGTTTTGTTTTCACAAATGGAATTCAGGTTGTGCCTTACCTGGCTCTGCATTCGAACATATAGTAAATTAGTAAAATCTCAGAGACTGAAGGTTTTAAATGATTTCAGTCTTTCAGGGATCGTTGAGTTCAGCTTGTGCCTATGTTGTGAGTTTTCCATGTAGGCTTGCTGAGACGCGTGTCACTTTGTCTGGGTCGGGTCTGGGTCTGGGCCTGGTCTGGTGGATATTTGGCAATAGGTCAAATGTGAATACTACACACATAGGCATGTGTATATGTTCATATGTATGGTATATCGGTCAGAGTATAAATCATCATCCATAATCATTCCGCAGAGCTGGTCCGAAGCTCTTCTCGCAGCTAATTTAATTCAACCTTGAATGCTGCTTGTGCATTAGCATTAGCCAGATCACAAAAGCCAAGAGCCAAGAGCCATGGGGGACGACCTCAGCCCCAGAGCTGAAGCTATGGAGCTTCCCCATACCGACTATCACCATTCGAATGTGTGTGTGGATGTGTGTGCATTTCTGGTCAGCAGATTGAGGGCGCCTTCTCATCGCCTCATCACCATCATCATCATCCGCAGAGCAGATTGAAATGTGTGTCGTAGGGCCTACAGTGCCCCCCGTGTGAGAGCATAAAGATATCAACATAATTACGAATTCACTTTTCGATGCATAACAGGTTTCGCCGACTGACTCCCCTCTGGGGCCCCATTTGAATGTTTGAATGCTTGAATGTTGTAAACCTGTAAGCATTAGCCGCGGCCAGCGGGCCAGCGGGCCAGCGAAAAACTATAGCACAGAAAACGCACAAAAAGTTGGTTTGCATTTTCAGTAATTATGAGGGGCTTTCGGCTCTAGCTCTGGCTCTGGCTCTGGCTCTGGCTCTTGCTCTGGCATTATAAATGCCATAGTTAGCCCGGGCCTCGAGTTGTTGCCAACCCAATGGAGTCATTGGGTCAAGTTTTAAAGTGCAACTGGGTCATGCTTTATCATTATCGTCATCATCATCATCCTCCACATCGCTGTCCACCATCTCTGGTTGGGCGACCCAACTTGGTCTTGGCTCTTTGGGTTCGGTGGTTCGGTGGTTCGGGGGTTCGGGGGTACGCGGCTGAGGTCTGGGGTCCGGTGGGGTGTGTGTCCCGCATTTTCACTTGCTAGGTGTTCCCAATTCGGAATACCAAAAGCCGAAAGCAAAAGAAAATATGTAAGCGCCAGCGCCACCGCCAGCGCCTGAGCTTGAGCTGCTCCAGAAATGAGAGCACACACACAAGTGAGCGACATAATTGGAGCGCTTTGAGAGCCCTTAATGATGTTGCACAGTGTCCGCAGAATGGGGGAGCAATGTGCGCCAATATTGGGGCTAATTTTAGAGCGATTATAACGTAAATTGAAACTAATTCTTGGATTCTAGGAAATACAGCACATTCTTTATCAACATTCTTCCAGTGTAAATGTAAGAAAACTTTGATATAAATGCAAATTTAAAGCTTCTATTAAATAGTTATTCAGGGAATTGCATCTAAATATAAGGGATTTGTGAGCTGAAGACCAACAGATCTGAAGATCTTCCTTGATCCGCAGATACAATGGCACTCAGACCAGTGTGCACAGGGGCTTGTAGGCCAAATGAATCTTTTGGATAGCCTCAAGCCTCGCCTAGCCTCACGATTCCGATTCGGATTCCAATTCAAATTCAAATCAAAAGCCGAGTCCATTAGCATTGCATTGACCAGTCGTTGGAAGAGCGCTCTTCGAATGGTCTTGGAATCTGAATTCAAATCCAAATCCAAAGCGGACGCATCTTGTGGTGGTGCGGCGATGGATGCTTAAGGCTGGAGGCCCCCCACTTGATCGCATGCAAAAGAAAAAAAAGAAAAAGAGACAAAAGAGAGCGTATAACTGATTTGACCTTAGCAGGCATTTGCCTACCGGTTTGCTAGTGCGACTCTTCAGAGGAAAAGCAGGGGAGGGGATCGCGCCCTCTGTGCCATTTACTCCAACGGCTCCGGCTGTTCCATTTGTGCCTTTGGCGTCACGCAACGAAGTGAGTCAGTCGGTCGATGGAGCGCTGTGGCGTCTCGAGCAAATCAATGAACCATTCCCCCCCGCAAACAAAAGCAGCGGCAACGGTAGCGGCAACAACAAGAACAAATGAGCGTTACATGTGCGTTGAGACGAGAACCAGAACGAACCGAAAGAGACACAACAACAGAGCGAGACGAGAGACAAGAGAGAGAGAGAGAGAGAGGGAGAGGGAGAGCGAGAGGGGAGAAAGAAACCACTTTCCATGGCGACACACTTTTATATGCTACGTGCTCTTTTGCTACTTTTGCCACTGCCGCTGCCGCTGCAGCAACAACAACTTGGACTCGGGTTCCCCATAATAGAAAGTGGAACAGGAATTTCCCCCCCATCAATGCCACCAAAACGGAGGCAGCGGCAGAGCACGATGATTTCATTTTGGCCTGCACTCATTGCGAAACACTTGCCACGGCCAACAACCAAATGGCGGCAACAGCAACAGCAACAGCACCAACAACAAGCGGACATCGAGAAAATCAAGAAACGGCTAAAAAAGATTGGAAAAAAAATAGTTCAGTGGGAGCAAGAGGGAGCCAACGCCAAAGCCAAAGCCAGAGCCAGAGCCAGAGCGGCAGACAGCTGAGTGGCAGGCAAGCAAGACCAAAAGAGAGAGCTCTCTCTTTCCCCACTGACTGTCTTCGAGTGGAGCGCATGTCCCATTTTTGTTTATGGTTTGCCGCTGCGCTTCTCTTGTTGTTCTGTTTGTTGTTTCTATTGCAGGTGCATGCGCGCTCTTCTCTTTGCTCTTTTTGCTATGGTTCTTCTTCTCGCCTGTGGTTGCAACAATTGCAATTTATCAGCATTAGCCGCGTGAATTAATTTCTAATTGATGGCCTATGCAATGGGCTCTGCCCCACTTCCGATTCCGTTTCCCGACCCCACTCTTCAGCTTCTGGTGCTGCTGCTGCTGCTGCCGCTACTGTTGCGGCTCTCTCTTTATCACTCCCTCTCGCTGCTCTCGCTGCTCTCTCTCTTTCTCGCGCTCTCTTTGGTAAGTGGCACTGGGTAGCGTATAATTTTTGTTGTGTTGACCTAATTATACGCTCATTTTGATTCACTTGATTTTCTCTGCTCGCAACCACACAGACGCACACATGGACGTTTCGTCACTGAGACGACAAGTGGAGCAGCAGCAGTGGCAGTGGCAGCAGAGCCAGCAGCCCCACATTGGGGCAGGCGACCGTAATTTCTTGTGGTTACTGGGACGCACATTATTGGGTTTCCACAGAACATGCACATGCTAGGGAGCGGGTAGAGGGAGGATGAATGTGGAAGAGTGGCAGTGTGGGAGTAAAGGCGTGGGCAGGTGTAAGGGAAAGAGTCTTAATCCTTATTCACACTCACTATTTATAGCTGAGATATATCTGCATATAGACCGTGGGATTCTGTGCTAATCCAAACTTCACTTTGGGCAAAGGGAACACGGGGAGCGACATATGTAGGCTCGAATCCAACTGAAACGTTGTGCTACGTTCAAATTCAAATTCAGATTCGAAAATGCAATGGCAGTTCCACCAACAGCCCGTCTGACACGACCAACCGACTGACTAGGAGACCCAACTGTTTCTGTCTCTGTTGTGTTTGGGAACGGAAATGCCAAGGGTGGCGTCTCGCCCAAAGGGGGGTCGTTCAGACAAAGTCTGCGCCCCCTCCCCAAAGAGGGGAAAAGATAGAGGAAGAGCCAATATTTGATGGCTGGGAATCCTGAATCAAATACATTTATTTGGGATATGCGGCTAGCCTCCTAGGGAAGCCCCCCCCAGCAGCACCTAACACTACTACCACTGTCAAAGATTTGCCAATCGTTGGCGCGCTCCGGCTCTCCGACAGACACACACAAACGCAGACTCTCACAGTTACAGAGACACAGATCAGCAGCAGGCAGCAGCAGCAGCAGAAACACCAACACCAACAACAAGACGCAGCAGAATTTGAAATTAGGTCAACAGGTTTGGTTGATTGTGGTAGTGGGCCTGAGCCAGTTACTCGAGCGTATGCCGTCCGTCGTCTTTGCCTACGACCTCGGCTGTCATCATCAAGAGAGAAGCAGAAGCAGAAGCAGCAGCGACGGAGGCAGAGACAGCAACATCCAAAGCTATCGCTGCCGCCGCCAACGCAATATGCGTTCCGTTCGTTCCGTCGTTTATTGCACCAGAGTTCGTGCAGTTTGCAGTGGCTGTGGGGGAGATGCACTCGCAGACACACACACATTTATATATATATCAGAATTGAGCACACCGCAGTGTGGGTGCAAGGGGGAGACAAGAGGGCGCCCGTTACATTTGGGTAAATGAACCAGGGATGCAGCACAACTTCAGGGCTTCATTGAAGCATGGAAAAGGGAACCCTTTGTAAATCAAATCTTTCCAATATTCTCACAACAAAAGCCAGCCCGTAGCAGGTATCCGCTGCGTCCGTTGCTGGAAAATGTTGCGAAAATCCGCATATGTTCTGAAATGGAAACTCAACTGGCAACCAACTAACTTGGGCTTCTGAATTGATTTCGTTGCAGCCAAGAGATTTCCACATACTTCTTAGTTGGTTTCTGTGTCACAATCACAATCGCACACACATACAGCGATGCGAAAAGGTAGGCAGAGACGGTCGACTGTCGACGGCGGATGGCGGATGGCGAACGGTGGAGGGAGTGACAAGACAGAGAGGAGGAATAATGAGGCTCCCAGAGAGGCAAAGCTGCTGCAGCCACCTGCAGCAGAGACAGAGACAGAGCCAGAGCCAGAGGCAGCGCGGCAGATAATCCCAGTAGAAATTGAAACTAGTCGCTGCGGCAAGTTTATAGAAAACTGGTATAGAAAAAAGCACACATAGAGGCAGGCAATCGACCTTGTAGGAGTATATTTTGTCTTGGAGCATGCCCGTAAACTGGGCCAACGCGATTGCACTGAAATCAGGTGGGCGTGACGTAGGTAAATATGTTGGCCAATGCGGCCGTCTATCTGTGTGTTGGTGTTCGTGTGTCCCAGTGTGTCTGTGTGTATGTGTGGGAACGTTTTTGGGAAAGCAAGCACCTAGATGCCGATGATGGTGCTGTTGTAGCTGCTGCTGTACCCTTGGCGCCCATAATCCATAACAGAAAATCCAACGAAATGTGTCGCAATCCAAGATCCGAAATAGCCATCATTCGAAGGGAGTTTCGTAATTACATACTATTGTGCGATACATACCCGCCAAAAGAGATTTCTATAACCAAAAACAGCCTTGGATGTGGATGGATGTGGTTTGGTTCTTGCCGCCTGTCTGATTTTTATTCAGTTTCTGATGTTTTCTGTTACCTTAGCATTAGGCACAGCTGGAGTCTTTTGCAATGCTTCTCGAAAAAAGAAACGTTTTGTGTTTGGCAATTTTTAGATTTCAAAATACCACAAGGTGCATTCTAACACACCACACAGACACACACACACACACTCACTCGCGCTCTCTGGTTCGCGCGCTGTATCTCTCTCCTTCGTTCGGGCACCTTGCCTCTCTCGCACTCACAAACACACACACATGGACACAGAGCTGCAATTCTTGGATCTATGTTTCTCAATGGGCTCGAATGTGGGCAGGGGCTGGGTGGCAGCTACAGTGGGGGATTTTGCAATTTGCGTACACTTTGGAGTCGCGTCGCACACTTATTATCCAACAACTAACCTCCTCCCACAACCCGGACTCGGGAACGCTGCGGCAACTGGAACACAAATATATGCACGACAGAAACGAAAGGGCAAGCGCAGCGGATCGGATCCACAGTTAAAGCCTAAATAATAACAACAATAATAATAAGAATAATGTTAACGGACAACGCGCGCGTCGTGGCCACATCCGAATGGGCCAAAAGAAAAATTTACACTGAAGCGGTGTCGCAAAACGACGAGGCACCACACCAGAGCAACGGCGGCAGAGTGAGCTGTTGTTTCTGGTGCTGCTGCTGCTGCGCGCGGCTGGCGCTCTCCGGTGAACAAAAACAACTCAAGCGATTCCGATTCCGATTCCTCAAGGCCTACTATTTAGGCCAAAAAATAATGTACCACAACAGCAGCAACACCAACAGCAACAACAAGAAGGTGAACAGCAACTCGTTTGCTTTGCTGCTGGTTTGTCTTACAGAAATGTAAACGTTCTAATTGAGTTCTCATTTATGGCCAGTGGTTGTAGCTCCACCGACATCTGCTGTGCACTGTACTGTGCCGCAAGTGTACTCGTAGTTGTTGCCATTACCACCATTACCACCATTACCCATAGTGCCAAAACAATCGGAAAATGCATTTTATCCGGCTGCAGCGACCGTTTTCCAATGGAAATCAAGTTTACCGACTTCTGTAAAGTGCGCGGGTCTTCGATTGCCCAACACACCACTGTTTCCTCTATCAATCAGCTTCGACCTGTCCTGTCCAGGTATTCCAGGATCCTCTAATTGAGATTGGATTAAATGATAAACAAAATGATATTTAAAATGAACACAATAATATCTTATCATTTTAATGAAAGTAAATTATGTTTATATAAATAAAAGAAAATTAAATCTCCCAAAAGGGTCAATATCTCTCTTAAGCCACACAATATTCTTAGTTGTCAGACCTCAGATCTTCTCCAAGTACCATGTGCTTCTGTACCAGATTATCTGTTGAGGCCAGGTTCTTGTTGAGCTGTCCACCTCGTTCAGTGTCTTGCAGATGTCTTTTTCGAACTGTCGGACCATCGTTATAATGTTACTAACTATGCGATTGTCACATTTGCTTTTTTCATTCTTAGCACTGTCTAACTGTCTAAACTCAGTCAAAGAACTTGTTCAATTTACTCCTCCTTTTCACATCGTGTTTTCTTTTATGATACCGACGTTTTAGGGTGTGAAAAGTAATTCTTATGTCTGCGATGTAGTCTGCTTCAGTGTATCCACTTCTTTTTTGAATCTCTAAATAAGTGCATGTTGATTAACAGATATGTACATTATATGCATAAATACTCACCATAGATGGTCCTGTTAATATTCTTAAACTGCCTAAACGGCTGTTTGTGGTTAACACCATCGAAGTTGAAGCCCATTATTATTTCCTCTCCGAATATCTTGGGTATACTATCCTTCAGTGGCTGGATGATGCCTTCTGGCCGCAAAATTCGCTTCATCATAGGAATCTGCAGTGCTAAAATTAATATCTGCGAATTGTAGACACGATCTTGCACTATGTACTCACAAAGCTATTTCCGGGATTGGCCAATTCAGAGTCTAATTTTTCCAGTTCTTGCTGCTCTCGCACTGGGAAATATTCCGTTCTGATCTCAGTGGCTTCAGTCAACTGCCCATTAATGTTTGGCAGAGGGTTTACTTGACTTAGGAGCGTGATTATCAAGTCTTGATTGCTCAAGATGTCATCTAATTTGTCCTGCAGCTCTATTATTTTTATTTGCAATATCTCATCGTCATTGGACGAGAGCGGATCTTCTTTCTTCCTAGTCGCAAATGCTGTGGATTGAATTTAGTACAATAAGAACGGAATATTGTTGGAATGTGTCTTACCCATCGCCTGGGACAGCAATGATATGCTCGCAGTTATGTATACAAAAATTTGTTCAGTTTTAATTGCTCGATTCGCTCGGTTTATTTTTGTATGCTTACCGACTACCTAGAGATGCGAAGCACCGCATTGTTTTTATACTCTCTTGTGAGTTATCGTTCGTTGTGCATTTCTAGACGCACCACTCGTTGTTGTTGCAACTAGCCGATGATTGCCCTCCTCTATTCGATAGGTATCGCGACAGTGCTCTTTAGCTCCCGCGAGTATATTACAGCACTGTTTCAATATAAGTGCGTTTCTCGGCGCATTTGCAGGTTTGCTCCGTTTTAAAAATTTGTTTACACCTTAAAGTAGCGTGATGAATTCTCGAATTAGATGTTAAAGTGTAGTTGAAGTGCTTGTCCGCCTCTGTGTAGTGTTTTCCTGATGTTTGTCCATATTTTTATGGCGTAAAACTTTGTTGAAAATTCAATACTCGCCGCTGTCTGGAGCGGCAGTGTCGCCGTCAATATAATTACTGTGGCCATAAGTTTACATAAGAGAGAAAGAGTCGGCTATAATGTTTGCAGAAATGGCGTCGAAGTGTGTGCACATGGCCAAGACTTTAGACAATGGCCGGGGCTGCTTATTAATAATTTGTAGCTGAGCTCGCATTTTATCTATATAAAATGCATTCACAATCTTGAAAGCTATTGGAAATAGTCAAGTTAATTGGAAACTGGCATTACATTTCATATCCAGTGCAGTGTACACCATTTTGTCCGGTTTTTTATTCCGCTTTGTGCGCTTCATTCGGTTTCAATGCCCTCGCATTCAGTGTTGCCGAGTGCCGCGGCATATCTAGTGATGTGTAATTGCGAAATTTGGTTTGAAAAAGTGTGTTTTCCGCACAAATATGCAATTTTACTGCTGTAAATTACTCGAATAGTTTGTGCAAATTATAACATTCTTTATCCGAACAGTTGGTAAATAAATATATCCCACCCGCTGCACGCCGGGCCCACCACTCACACCTGGCAACACCAAGCACTTGGGATAGGATAGTTAGTGCGACAGGGATGCAGCTATGGCAGCTGTAGAAATCCGAGCACAAAAGAAAAAGCAGAAAACCGAAGCGGGGAGGCCAAGAATTTTATAAATCAATTCTTGTCTATGCCCCAAGCTGGCAATTGGCATATTCAAGTAATATTTGTGTCTACTCTTCCCAAATGCTGGGGCCAGCAAAATAAATCTATACATTATACTTAGAGTAGTGAGCGAGAGGCGGTATGCGGACGTGCAAAATGTATGTCCCATGTGAAAAAGTGTATGCGGCAGAGGGGACAAGTGTGTGTGTGTTTTTATGTGAATATGAATAATGTATGAAAAGGCATTATTCATGACGAGATTTGATAAAACTGCGGTGACAACAAAATTAAATGATTCAGATGCACTTGGTATCGGGGTCGTGCACTGGATCGAAACGGTCTCTCACAATTTACCATTGTCGTCTGTGCACCGTTCTCTTGTGTGTCCAACCCCCCCGGCTAAATACTCCACCGTCAGCAACCACCGATTAGAAAAGCGGACGACGTTTTTCGTTGTGATGCGTCTCGGTCACGTACCCCGCCAACGTCCCGCGACGCTCACTTTGCGTTACCTGTTTTGCCAATACACACACCCCTCCGCCGCTGTCTTCTCTATGGCATTGCTGCTATTACTTCCTCTTTTCACTCTCCCCCTTTTGCATGGTTTGCATTAAATTTTTGTTATTTCTGAATACTTGCTTTGTTTGTGCGTGCGTGTCGCTCTCCCGCTCCGGCTCTCTCATGTCTCTCTCGTGTGTTGTGTGTGTGTGTTTCGTTCTTTTATTCTCTTTGATTAAATGTACATTGAACTCTCATCTGTCGGCGGCTCTCATCATCTCTCTGTTAGCTTTTCCTCTGCCACTTGTTTTACAACTCGTCAAATTTGGCTAGATGAAAATTTAGGTTTTGTCTGGGCGTCACTGGGCAAGAACGCTCCTTGATTAGTCTCTGGACTGGAATGCTAATAAGTTCTTGTTGATTTCCTGCCCCTTGCAGCTAACTTGTATATACAGTGTACATAGAGATGAGCACACAAACTCGTTCAGGCGGCGGTGGCGGAGGAGGCGGCAACAGTCGCAGCCAGAAAAAGTCAAATTCCGCCAATGTTGGCGGGGGCACGGCCCACGATGCAGCCCCACATGCAGCAGCGAACAAGAAAGGCGACGCTAATAAGACAGATAAACCAGAGAAGGCCCAGCCCAAGGCCACCACGGAACAGTTGCGCATCGCCCAGATTACCAACAGCACCACAGAGGATCCACAGATCAACGAAAAGGTTACCCTCTTACTGACTATGACTCAACGTTCCGAGGAGGAGGTGTGTTGCGCCCTCAACGAGTGCGACTACGACTTGGAAGCAGCAGCCAACTTCTTGATCGAGGAGCTCCCTCAGGTGAGCGATTCTGCCCCTATAGGAGGGATCCCCTCTCTGAATCTGAATCCTTGCAGGGCGCCTTTGCTAAGTACGAGAAGAAGAGGAAGAGGCCTGCAAGCACTGCTGCCGATGGTGCCGCTGGCGATGGTGAGTGGGCCGATGGCAATGCAAATGCGGACAAGCGCGAAAATACCCGGAACCGCAGCTCGAACCGCGGTGGCGGACGCGGCGGCACTGACAGCCGTGGATGTAAGTATATCTTACACTTTCCTCTCACGCATCCCCCGATTTAATGCTGTTTTCTCTGGCTCCAGGGCGCGGCAGAGAGACCCGCGAGAACGAGCGCAACACTCGCGAATCTCGCGGCGGCGGTGGGGAACGCGGCGGTGAACGTGGTGATGACCGGGCAAACGACAACTATCGCGGCCAGCGCAACGGCGGACGAAGTGCGCCTGGAGGCGGTGGTGGACGCGGCGGCGGCTTCGTTTCACGCTCTGGACGCGGAGGAGGTCGCATGGGAGGTCGTAGCAGTGGCCCACGCGGAGATCGCACCAGTGGCAGCGGTGGCTTTGGAGCAGGACGCAGTAGTAATGCCAACGAGGACCACCACGAGGTGGAGCTCTGGGACAACACCATTGCGCAGAATGCCGAGAAGCAGCAGCCTGGCCACGACGATTCCTGGGGCGACTGGAACAACGAGGAGTATGAGGGCTCCCTCAAGGACAGCAAAGTGTTCACCACCAGCAATCTGTCCACACAGACGGCCGCCGCCGTGGTCAGCGGAGGAGGTGCCGGTGCCGGTGCAGCATCAAGTACTGGATCTGGGGGCGAGCTTTCGGCCCCGCCAGGACTGGAGCATCATCTGGGCAGCAGTGCCCTGGCCCAACAAG